GCTTCAACGATCATTCTCTTATTGGGGCTAAAAAACTTTATTTTTATGGTTTCTTCTAAAGTTCATTTGCGGCTGACTTTCTTCTAAGTTTATAGTTAATGCAATTATTTGGTGCTTAAGTTTCCCTTACGGAACAAAGTGAAGGTTTATTGAGCCGCGGCCAGTCATTCCACTGTGTTCTTTGGTTGTCCTCAAAATCTACACATAAAAGAGACCCAAAACCAAGCTTGTTCATTTCGGCTTCATCAAGGATTTCAACTCCTAATCCAAGGCTTTCCAAATCTTTTGCTTTTTGAGCAAATGCTTCTGGATCCATCACGTTGGGTGGTTCTGAAATGACTTCACGTGCTAAGAAAACGCCCTCTGCGATGGCTTTGAAACAGCCAAATTTTTGTTCAGCTTCTTCTGCTTCTTGGCAGATCATGTGAATTTTGGAAAGTTGAGGTTTTTTATCTTGGCTTTCTTTCGTTTTATATTTGTCGAAGCGCCAAGAACGAAGAAGGCTTCCAGAAGCAATACGTGCCGTTGAATAAGCGCAGCTATTTTGATCTGAAGAGAGGTTATCCAAAATAACTTCAACAGTTTTGTCAGGGGTTGCCTCAAGTGTGGAAGTAATCTTAGCGCCAAGCATTTCAAGGTCTTTAATTTTCAGATTTTCAACTTTGCCCAAACCTAAAATCAAGACACGCGCGCAGTCCAATCCAAATGGTGAGTTAATTAAAAGGGTTTGTCCCATATCGCCTTTGAAACGACTGTTTTCTAAAGCGCGTGTTAAAGCGCCTTGCGTTTTGGCATCCATGTCACGGGCAACAGGTGTTAATATTTTGCCAGACGTTGCTCCGACAACAAGAGTATCAGCTTTAAATGTTGCAGATCTTGAAAAAGTAATTTCGAGCATTTTTTTGTCCCTTGTAGCGTACCGTGATTTATTGTCCGTAGAAGACCATTTTTAAGCCACTTCTTAAAAAAATACCAGCGCTGAATAAGAGTTTTTTTTAAAAAGAAAATGAGGTTTGTTTTTGACAAATGGAAGGGTTAAGGAACATATTTTTGTCAAAAAATTTTTGTTTCCTTCTACTAAAAAAAGATAGAAGGGCTTTTTAATAGAAGGTCGTTTGTCAAATTTATCAGGGGGTTAAATAAAAAAATAAGCAAAGGGTGGATTTTTATTTTTTTGATAACTATCTATTTCGGTCGGAGAAGTATTTCACATTTAATTTGATTCGGGAGAACTACATATGAATAAAATTTACTTTTCGATGGCTTTATTATTCATTATGAATACGGCTTATGCCGTGACTTCAGATTCTGACGATGATGGTGAACCTCATTGGGTTGTGCCAGAACTTCATCATACGGCAACGATAAACGAACTTAACCCTTTGGGAATTGCAGAAGGTGTCGTGGTTGGCCCCTCTGGGCGGTTAGAATATGGATTGCGTGATATTATAAGAGATGAAGATGCTATGCGTGAGGCTGGCGTGCTTCCAACTGGACGGTGGGGAAGAGTTATTTCTTGGGTGAGGCGCCAAATTCGTCGTTTACAAGGATAAGCTTAAGAGCCTCTAGGCACAAAAAGCATATTAAACGTGTCTAACATGCTTTTTATATCTTGAATTTTTTAATGTTTGGCGTGATATATTGAGTTTCGTTTCTTTCGGATTTGATTGACAGCTTTCTTATTTTTGTTAAAAAATGAAAAATTGTACCAATGGAGCTTTATATGACATTTTTTAATCGCACTTTATTTGTTCTTTTGTGTTTGCAAAGCGTGACTTTGTTACCTTATGCGAATGCTGCTAGAGACACTAAGGAGTATAACTTAAAAAATTTTGAGAGAGGGTATCAAGTCGATCCTAACGAAAAAAAGGTCCAACCTGTTTATTTAGTTAATGCAATGGAACTTTTTACAACACCGGTTAAAGATACACAATTTTGTGGAAGAACAATTCCCCAAATTGTTCTCCGGTATGGTTTGAAAGGAAAGAAGCTTTTATCCATAGGGCCAGGGGGAATGGTAGAAGAGAGGCATTTCTACTTTAGTGGCGTAAATACGACTGTGTTGGATAGGCATAAAAAGTATTTCTCAGATGAGGCCAAGGTACTTTTTCGTCCTGCCGAATTTGGCAAACCTGGAGTTAATGATATTCTTTTTGTGCAAGGGTATATAGAGTGTGCGTTAATATTGCTCTTCCAGAAGGCTGGTTTGATGTAACCTTTTGTTCGAGTTGGAGTTTTTCTGAATATAGAATAAAAGATTTAGTAGAAGCAAATCCCAAAGCGCACGAACAATGGCCAGAAGGTGCAAGGACTTTGGATCCTAATCTTTTATCAG